ATATAACTTTTCCCTCTGTAAACAGTGGGAGAAGGATGATTGTATATTTGCTGTTCAGATATGTTTGTACTTATTATCAGGTAAGCTTCAAGGCCACATGGGTTTCCAATTCCTTATTTGCAATCCCCAGAATTTTCTCTGATAGCAGTGGTCAGAAAGTAGCATGATGATTATGATTTTGAAGTAGCATGAACACAAAAAATACATATTTTTTATATAACAAAAATCCCCAGGGGGGGGGGAGAATGTCCCAGTCTTAATTATTTTGCAGTCCTGTTTTCCTATCTTCATCTAGACAGAATGAAATTACAGAAAGCCATAGTACAGTTTGCTTGTTTGGGGTTTAACATGATTCAGGAACATAGTGTTTTGAAAGCATGGTTTAATGCATGTGAGCATATGCATCCCACAGTTCACTTTCAGGAATGCAAAATATAGAAAAGGAATAAGAAATAAGTAATCCAAGAAAGGGAAATACAGATAAATCTAGTTTACATTGATACCATTTTCAATCTTTGCAAATCAACCTAGTTTCCATAATGTCCAAATCCTGTTTTATATACTAATCTTCTCACAGTGCTTGTTTTGATAAAAAAAATATTCAACCATTGCTTTCCTAGTCTTCCTTTTACTTTCATCTATTCACTTTTCCTTATGGGTCTTCATTAATTCTCATTATTATATGGATTTTCATTAATTCTCTCTATATAACTAAATTACCTCTAACATTTCTGTTGTACTGCTCACTCAAATATGCATTCAGATCACATTCATTGAGAGCCCATTTATTTTTGATCCTATCTCTTTCTGAACCATACAGTTTCTTAAGTAACCCATTCATATTAGTTTCATGTTTTTCCTGACTTATTCAACCCTCACTTCATATAACAAAGCAGGCAGAAACATTCTTATACCAACCATTCACTAATGATGGAGATAGTTATTGAACAGAACAGAGCAGAGCAGAACAGAACAGAACAGAACAGAACAGAACAGAACAGAACAGAACAGAACAGAATAGAATAGAATAGAATAGAATAGAATAGAGCTGGAAGGGACCTTGGAGGTCTTCCAGTCCAGCCCCCTGCTCAAGCAGGAGAACCTATACTGTCTCAGACAGATGAATGTCTAGTCCAGTGGTTCTCAACCTTTCTAATGCTGCGACCCCATAATACAGTTCCCCATGTTGTGGTGACCCCCAACCACTTATACATCACTGGGTGCCAGGGGTGTGACCAAAGAAAAGGGTAAAAAAATGGCGGACAGCCTTGTTTGGCGACCCCCATGAAATGGTCGTTCGACCCCAAATGGGGTCCCGACCCACAGGTTGAGAACCACTGGTCTAGTCCCTTCTTAAAAATCTCCAGTGATGGAGCGCCCACGATTTCTGGGGGTAAGCTGTTCCACTGGTTGATTGTCCTCACTGTCAGGAATTACATTTTAAATATTTGATAATAACCTGTCTAAATATTTAAAAAACTGAGTAATATTAATTTGAATAATATTCAAATTAACAAACAGCAAGTTATTTAAAATTATATAGACAAAAATAATTGTCTTTTTGCAAGAAAGTCCCATTTTTGGCAAGCTTATATCCTTCTTAATAAAGGATATATAGACATATAATTATGTCTATATTGCTTTACCAGCTACCATTATGACTGATGTCTGGTAAATTAAAGCATTGATATGAATTGTGTCAATAGACATAATTTGCTTCAAAGGATACAAAACTGGTGTTGTTAACTTATCCTTTATTTATAATTCATGCAATTTTGAAAACATGCTTAAGCATATTCATCAGGAATGCCTCCCTTTACAAGATACTTTTTGCATTTTTATTTGGTATAATAATTGTAAAGGTTTGAATTATGTCAACAAGGCACATTATTAAAAGTCTTTATTCCCTTTTTGAGAAGTCAAAAGGAATATGTGTTGATAACTGTAATATTATTACTAACATTATTTTAATATTTTACCTTCATTATTTCAGAAGCAAACTTGCCATTTAACCATTGCCCAGAATTGAATGCAGCTTTCACTTAATTCTCTAGCCTTTTGTGTTAAGAAGAGTGTGCTTGAATATATGCAAACGCACAACTCATCCGTTAAAGATATTCATACAATCTTAGATTTTTTTTAGTAAGGGATAAATGTTTAGGTTTTATGTGGGATTGGCATTCTGTAATTAAGTTCTGTTCTTTTTTTACTTTAGGCTTGTTCATCTTTGCTTCACTGTATTTCTTTGCTTTGCTTTTCCTTAAATTGTAATTTCAAAGGCAAGATTTCTTCATTTTCCACCTTTTCTCTTTCTTTTCCCCTTTGTGCCTTGTTAAATATTAGATGACAATAGGAAAGGTGTCTCATGGAATAGATGCTGTAGCACAAATCCTTGTTAATCTATACAGGAATGATCACAAGCCATTACCTGCATCTTTGCAATTGGTAAGCCTTAACCCACACATAACTGAGTGCAACTCGTTTTAATGAAGAGTGATTATGTTAATACCCTATCTATTACATGTATCCATTTTTCAGACACTACCAAACTGAAATGCAGAATGTAGAGATAGTGCATACTATCACTGATGACCCTTTATTTATAGATGCTTTTTAAATATTTTATACGGTTAGTATTCTGTATGATATTCCAATGCAGGGCTTTTGAGCCATATTTATTTGGAGGGGTAAAAATAAAATAAAAGCTGCTATCAAAATGTAGTGGAGGCAACCCTGCATACTGTATATTTAGAAGATTTTATTAAATAATTCATTTCACTAATTTAGTCTAGTGATTAAGGCAGTGTTTCCCAAACTTGACAATTTTAAGGCATGTGGACTTCAACTCCCAGAATTCCACAGCCAGCAACGCTGGCTGTGGAATTCTGGGAGTTGAAGTCCACATGCCTTAAAATTGTCAAGTTTGGGAAACACTGGATTAAGGCAACAGGCTAGAAACCAGGAGACCATGAATTCTAGTCCCACCTTAGACAGGAAAGCCAGTTTGGTGACTAGGCCAGTCACTTTCTGTCTCGACCCAACCCATCTTAAAAGGTGGCTGTTAGATAGATAGAAATATTGTGTTTGTTCAACACCTTGAGTTATTTATAAAAATAATAAAGGAGTGATTAAAAAAGATAAATAAACATTGGAGTTAGAATTAATTCAAAAATATTGTTGAACGTAAGACATTGTCTTGCAATTAACTCTTTCTCAGATTATTGACTTCCAAAGGATATATAACCTTGCTATGGATATTCAATTGCATGAATATTATTTATATGAAGCTATATAGCTATTCTGTTGAGCCTGTTAGTAACAAAGCCTTGTGGCACATTTACTGAGCTAATCTGAGGAGGTGCCATATTTGAAATTTTCTCCCCATTCTATCATTTTGGAAAGAAGTGAAAAATATAGACCTTTTTTAGATAACACTCAGCAAACAAATGTAAAGAGCTTCAAATATTTGGGATGCATCATCTCAAGCGATGGGTCTTTGGACAAAGAAATTGACTCCAAGATCAGCAAGGCCATTCAGGCTCTGGCTGAATGCATACCAGAATCATCAAACAACACAATGTCTGTATCTCCACAAAGCTGAAAGTCTACAGAAGCTATCATTATTCCTTCTTTCATATATGGATGTGAATCTTGGACTTGGTATTGACAATACATCAATCAATTGGAGAAATTTCATATTTGTGCCTTCTGCTCCAGCCTTGGTATTTGTTAGCAAGTCCATGTCTCAAACCTGGAGCTTTTGGATCATGTGGATCCATGAGCATTGACTCCCGAATTATCAGAGTAGTAGGTGGATAAATCATCAAAATGGATGACCACTGAATGCCTTGTCATTTGTTCTAGAGTGAACTGGAGACTGAAAAGAGACCTTGAGGTCATTCATTCCAGCACTACAAAGATGCTGTGAAGGCAACCTTACGTTGCTGTGTCGTTCAAGAGAATTAAAAATGCAACTGATGACCGAAACCGCACCAAAAATGAATATTTAAAAACCTTTTACCATACTAACTTAATAAAGCCATCTAACATCATGAACAAGGATCATAAACATTAAACCAGGAAGTAGCTGAAAATACATAAAAGATGGCACCAGCAATTAGAATTTGCTAGCAAATTACTGTGGAGAGGAAGTGGGAACATAAAAGTATGTTTTAAGATTTCTCTTGACAGCATATCAAAAAGACTGATTAGCCTACTGGTAGGAGTTAATTCCAGAGTTTTTGGCTCTTCTACTTCTCTAGCTGTAAGTAGCTTCACATGGGCATTCACAGCACATACCACGGAAAGCCTGCTCCACCATTTAGCCATAAGACCTACTGAATTACTATTCCTTCTACAGTATACGGTAGCAGTCTAAACACAGCCCAATAAATACATGGTTTGCTATGACACTATGGGTAGTTCTCGATTTACAACTACAATTGAAAATTTCTATTGTTAAATGAGTTTTGCCCCATTTCTTGCCACAGATATTAAGTGAATCACTGCCATTGTTAAGTTAGTAACAAGATTGTTATGTGCATCTGGCTTTGCTTGTCAGAAGATTGCAAAAAGTGATCACATGACCCCAGAACACTGAAACCATCATAAATATAAACAGTTGCCAGGTGTCCAAATTTTGATCACGTGACCATGGGGATGTTGCAATAGTCATAAGTGTGAAAAATGGTCATAAGTCACTTTTTTAGTACCCTTGTAATTTTGAATGGACACTAAACAAATGGTTGTAAGTTGTGGACTACCTGTATACTATTTAAATATACAGTATTTTGCCAGGATGCAGAATGTGGCTAATAGGCAAGAAAATACAAAATGGCATAAAACAGTTCTGACTAAAAAAAAAACATGTAAGTAACAATATCCTGTTGTTCATTAAACTCTTAGTTTTTCTTCTTAAAGAACTTTTTGTGATGAAATTAATCAAACAGTTATACAAACGTTATTCAGATATTACCAATATATTTTAATTTTTTCAACAGGGATCTTTGAAAAGAGAATTTCCTCAGACAATAGGTGGGAGTGATATCTGCTATTTTTGTAAGAGAAGAGTTTATATCATGGAACGATTGAGCGCGGAAGGCCACTTCTTCCACCGAGAATGCTTCAGATGTGTCATATGTGCGACCACTCTCCGCCTAGCAACATATACCTTTGATGCAGAAGAAGGTAATGCAGATCTAAAATAAACTATTTAAAAATATTTATCAATAAAGGAGAATATTTGTAGCATCAGGGTCCTTGATGCTCTCTGAGGTTGGTTGTTTTCTTGCAGACATTTCAATACTTAAACTATGTAACATCATCAGTGCTTGTCGCATTGATAGTAGGACTAGAAGTACTATATACAGTAGTTGGATAGTAGGATTAGCACCTATGGTGCTTTTTAGCTTAGGTAATGAAACATCTTCAAGAAAACAACCAAGCTCAGAGAGCATCAAGGATCCCTCAGAAATATTTAGGTATTGATGCAAGTACAATGTACACTAAGCATATTTTGATTGTATGTGTCTACTATTCATAGATAAGATTAAACTAAATGTTAAGGGGTGGGCTATATGAAACCAAGCAAGGATAGCATCTTCATTATCAACAGCAAAAATATCACATGTGGGATTTTAGCCTCTTTGCCAAGGCTTCAATATCCTAAGGTAAGACCATTCAAGTTGGTAGAATAAGGAAATAAACTTTCCTCATGTAAAAGACTTTTATTTAATGAAAGCACTTCTTTTCAAAAGGTTTTAAATAAAGTACTTAAAGTAACTTAAATTTGAAGTTTTACCCTCTTTACATTCTCCCATTCCATCTGTCAGGTCTACTAATTGGTAGATTGCATAGGGGAAGAGACAAAAGCTAAAAGCATTCCTTTTATTTTTCAGGTAATTTTTACTGCAAGCTTCATTTTGCACAATGTAAAACAAAGAATACGCAGAGAAAGAAGAGAGCGGAAATAAAGGTATATATTTGTTTTCTGAGGTTTTCGCAGGTGTTTGTATGTAGGTCTTTGGTTATTCGGGTTTTCTCCCGTGTAAAATTGGAAGTGTCTTGGCAACGTTTCAACGAACTCCCATTCATCATCTTCAGGCTGGTGTTTTCGGCTTCATGCTTCTAGGAGCAATATGTGATCATAGCTGTTTCTTCCTTTTAACTGCCAGTGGGGGTATGAACTGATTGGATGGGAGCTTGGCTGTGTTCTGATTGGGTGGAGATGTGCTCTGATTGGTTAGGGGCTTGGCTGTGCTCTGATTGGATGGGGGGTTGGCTGTGCTCTGATTGGATGGGGGAGTGTTCTGTTTGGGTGGGGGCTTTGTTGTGCTCGGGTTAGTCTGAGTTGCAGGGGGATTTGAGATGGTGAATCAGTTCATACCCCCACTGGCAGTTAAAAGGAAGAAACAGCTACAATCACACATTGCTCCTAGAAGCATGAAGCCGAAAACACCAGCCTGAAGATGACAAATGGGACTTTGTCGAAACGTTGCCAAGACACTTCCAATTTTACGCGGGAGAAAATATATATATATATTTCTACCAGAGTATGACAGAGTAGCAAGATTATAAAAAGACAAATTCCAGCTCAGTGGAAGTGGTACATAAAAGGGAAACCATCCTCATCAAGTTACTCTAGCAGAGACTCCTTTACACGTGAACTTCATAGGAGTGATCACTGGATATCCAAAATGTTGTCTCTCTCTTAGCAAAATTGAACTGATACATTCAGAGACATTTTTGTTCAGTCTGTGGGCTATTCTAGCTTTAAAACATTTATATCAAAGTATGTCTTTGTGCCACATGCAGAAGAAGAGGAGCTGAAATATGTAAGAATTGCAAATGATTGTTCTTTGGACTTCAAAACACCAATGAGATTTTTGATGGTTCCATTATTTTAACAAGCCCACTACATTATTTTGCTAGCCTAGTCATGTCAAATACATTCTAATGTCTTTTCAATTTTTACTGGAAAACATGATGATAAGCAAAGAAATAACCTTAATTGCATGTTTTCCTTCCCTGAGCTGCCATTTTTTCTAGTTATCAAAAAGAGAAAGTATTAAATATCCTTTGCATTCTCTCTTTCTTGCAGCCTTTCCAAGGCTTTTCTTTTTAGTTTTTTGAAAGGACATACTAGGGAAAAGAAATAAGACATGACCTTTATGTCTACCTTGATTCTGATAATTGATATCTGTTTATAACTTAAAGTCAATGGAAAATATTTGGAGTTAGTTGGCCATCAGGATGACACTCTCTAAGTTGAAGCACTGATACAAAGTAAATTGTATTTTGGAGATTACCCAAAACTCATTGCAAAAAAATATTTTGCAATCTAGAGAGTCTCTGAATTGTGGCAGGGTACAAATGTAGACAATAAATAAATAATGTTTAATATTTGAAATATTGAAGTTGAGCATCCTGTTAACCTATTTCTGTTTAAAGGAGGAAGCGGGATTTCAGAGGCATCAAGAACCCATGTGTCAAGAAACTAGCTCAGAAAGTGCTTTTGCTACTAGTAGCAGCTCAGATGACCAGTCGTCAGGTATCCTGTCTTCATTCTTTGGGAAAACTCTAGGCTGGCCTCTTAAGGTGACCAGGGATCTGCTTGATCTTCCAAGACGCCTCTCTAACTGGATGCATGGTTTCCTGCACGCAACCAGACTTCATTTCAGGGACAATGCATACAACTATATCTACTTGTATGAACTCCTAAGCTTTAGCATGCCATTCCTTTTTGTGCTTCAGGAGTTACTTGGCCATTTTTACGGGGAAGTGGAGTTGTCATATGAGGGTACGCTTGAATTGGTGAAGAAATTTTTCAAGCTTTAAAATTCTTCTGAGTCTTGGTTGTGCCTTTCAGATTTCCAAAACAAACAGTTTTTGGGTTTTGCACAAATATAAACATTTCAATTCAGTGGATGCTTTAAATGAGCCCAGAACTCCATGGTGCAATTGAAAAATCATTATTTTTTTATTGGATCATGAATATTAGTGTCCGAAATCATTTCCCAACCATGGAGACGCTATGAAGGATAATTTTATAGTTTTTTTTAAAAAAAATTGAATGGATTTATTTCTAGTTAAAAAACAGATATTCCTTTATGTTTACATTTTTATATTCTTATTTTAATGACTGTGAAAGGAGGAACTTTCATACATAAGGCAATAGCAAATTTTTACTATGTGGGGTTTTTTTTGAAAACTGAAGGTGGCACATACTTTTTCTACCTTTTGCTTTATCTATGGGGCTACTGTCTGCATCATTTTTTTAAAAAAAATCAAAGGTATACGTAGCCCATAATAATTGTATTGACGTCTCTTTGATAAACCTTTTGGGCATTTTCTATAATATTTATGAATGAATTCAAAGAGTAAATATTAGACATGAATTGATTAAAGTAAACCAAAGTACAGCAATAGCCTATATTTATTTTTTCTCAAATCAAGGGGCAATTTTGTTAATTTATATTAGAGATGACTTAGAGCTGATATGGAAGGTAAGATGTATCTATGTTAGAATACTTTTTCTCAATCAATCTTTTGAAAGTTGAAAGGATCAGAATAATATAAAAATGGAATAATTTGAGAGAAAGAGGGACTGACTTCATAGATCTTTTTGACACCATAGAGTCTCATAGAAATTAGGATATAGCTGAGAATTATAATAGATTAACTTGATATAAAAGCCACATTTGGCTGAAAGAGAAAAAGTATAAATTTATTTTGCCGTAGAGAAATTTTACACAGGAGATATCTGTGGATAAATTTAAGATAATTAATAGGATCCTTTTAATTGGCTGTCTTTTTGGCCTACTTTATCAGTGAAGAATACATGCTTGTTCTTGGGAAATAGCTGTAGAAAACAAAGTCCCACTATTAGGTTGCACATTCTGTAAAAGGTTCACATGATCACATCTGTTGACTCCTGAGACTAAAACCAATTTGACTTTTGACTGAGAGAAAAATAGTTCTCCTGGAATATATGGCTGGTTCTCTATACCCTTCCTGTGGCTATTCAATTACATAAATATTATTTGTATAATGGAATGTTAACTTGTCGTTAAACAGGTTAAAAACAACTTCATAAAACCCATTACTAAAGATTTAATTTAGAGCTAGCCTGTTAAAGGATTAACTGGTACATTGGAACCATTCTTAAATATACATGCTGTTCTGTTTTAACCTTTATTCTCATGAATTCTTACTTGGAAAATTGCCCTATTTATTTCATTGGAATGGAGAGATGTAGTATTAAGCACATTACATGACAATAATCTTTAATTAAATGAACAACGATGAAAAGAGGCTTTTTTACATGATTATTATTATTTTAAAAAGGTTAATTTTTGCTCTGTTAAAGATTTGCTTACATGTAAGAATATTTGGTGGTCCTACCATGAGTTCTCAAATGCTGTGATATTGTGAACCCACTGAAACAGTAAAGGAATAAAACCCAATGAGTTCTTCCTTGCTATAACAGTAATTGTGCCATCAGCTGAACAGAAAGCCGGAACCCATTGAGAACTCAATTCTGTTGCTAGCTTGTCTAGGCACAGTGTTGCTTTTAGGTTCCTAGGAAGCATGCCCAGATGTGCATCATGTGACAGATGAGATGTCTGCACCATGGAGTAGGGGACTAGATCTAGGGAAGAACAGGGTGGAAAGGGAAGCTGAATTATTAGAAGCCAGAATGGACTGTGGAAACTCAGTTACTGCTATACCAATAAACAAGGCTTCTTTTAACAATGGAGAGACTTGATTCTCCATCCCTTATCCCTTGGACCTGGATTCCTTTCCCCCTGATTGCCATACATTTCTTGGTATTCTTCTAGAAGAGAGCAGCCTACCATGTAGACTTCTGGTCACATCTCTTCTGCAGTGATGAGTCCAGCAGAGGTAGGGAAGCTGTAAAGCGTGTTTCCTACTCTCACGTGACTAGTCTTTTGAGACTATTCTGGCCACTCATCTTGCCATCCAATTGTACTGCCTATGGTTGGGCTACTGACTTGCCCAGGCAAAGTAAGACAGTATTTGACAACTGTTCGGGTTGGTCTGGGATTACAAATTTGACAAACCAGCAACAAACCATCCCTGAATTTCCTTTCCCCCTGATTGCCATGCTTTTCTTGGTATTCTTCTAGAAGAGAGCAGCCTATCATATAGACTTGTAAAGGCAGGAAGGAAGCAGCAGCCTACGTAGGCACCCCATGGTTCCAGGGTGCTCTCCTGTAAGACCAGCTTCTGGAACTTTCCTGCTCTAATCCCTTAATCTTGCCCACCATGGCTTTGAGCCTGGCTCTGGGCAAGCCTGCCGGTTTCCTCCTAGCTAGTAAAGCTCCCCACTCCTGACCCCGAGTCTGGCTATCTGAACATGATCTTCCAGACTTGCCTTCCTGCTTGGCCTCTCTGCTCCCCACCCAGGTTTTCCCAGCTGTCTATCTATTATTTCTCAACTAAACTTTTCTGTAGTTATTTCAAGGACTCCCTAGCACATAGTTTCTGCTCATGCAACAGTTTCCAGTGTTCTTTCCCCCCTTATGCCTTTTTCAGAGTTTCCAATTCTCACTTAAGGTGTAAGAGAAGGGAAATTTGATCTAGCAGCATCTTGTGCTGGCTGATGGATACAACTCTGCGGTCCATATCATAAGCTGAACCTGAAAAATGACAGCGCTCTGCTTGTGACCAACTTACTGTATCTATATCTGCCGCTATTCTTGCAATTCAGCTATTGCATATCTCAAACTCAGGGAATGAAGCGTCAGAGTGGCCAATGTACACCCAAAATCTACAAATGATTTTAGGGCAACTTCAGGGTGAAGAAATAACAGAACATAAATATATTTTGCACTGCTTGCTTGACTGTTTCTTACATTTCTTTAAATGTAAGGTACATTTAAACCTTATTAAATTATGTTCATATTTTATTTGCCTATAATTTGATTTTTAGTTGCACAATCATTAGTTAATAATGACAACATCAGCTGATTTGTGTATCAAAAATTTACCACAAATGAAACTCTTCAAGCACTTCCACTATTATCTAATAGTTTGAATGCAATGCACAGAAAAGGAAATGGTCCATTTACACTGTTTGAAGCCACTGATAATCATTACACAGTATAATTTTGTCTATCCAGTTGTTTATCTCACTCTAAGGGGGACTATTTCTGAACCATTTTCCAAAGTGTGTTGGATCACTGTAAAAAGCCAGAATTTTCTTTCGAATTATGTCCAGTCACATGCACACAAATAACCATGTTCTATTTGGTTACAGTATTTTGTTACTTATCATTTGCACATTCAATGAAGGTTTCTTTGCAAAGCTTTAGAGGGGGCTTTGGAGTTAAAAAAAGGAGATGTGACCAATATATTGTACATGTAAGTCCAAATTCAGTCTCAAATAAATGCAGAATCATTTATTTTGGGTTAGTCATATTTGAAGTTGATTGTTTGAAGTCAGTTGCTATTTCAAAGAGTCTTTGATAACTACTATTATTTGATACTTGAAATTTAATAAATGTAGTTATTTAATATTTTTGGTTGATGAGAAAGAAGAGTTACTGTTCATTTGTTCTACCTTACAGTATCAGTGCAATGTATCTAGTGTTATGTAAGCAAAGATTTGCAGTTACTTGTTCTGACTACTTTCTTTTTCCAATATTTTACGTTGTCTTTAGTTCATTTCAACATTCCAGTGCTACAGCCCCTCACTGGCTGAACTATTTCTGGTGTAAGATTATTATTCTCTATGCTTCTTTTTCTCTGTGTTGTGATGAATCCCTAATACTCCCTACTAATTTTAAACATACTAGAGTAGTATGTAAGTGTGTGTGTGTGTGTGTTCTAAATACACAATAAGAATCTGCATGATCACTTACCCTGCTTTGTAACTGACAGTCCAAGTGCTTCTTTCCAAGTGCTTCCTCTCTGCATTGTAGCTATTATCTTTCTGCATGCATTCCAAACTTTTGAAAAAGAAATTATTTAAATTAAATCATAAGGCATTTCTATGGATTTTTTATTCCTTCTTTGCATCTCTTTAAACTTTAGCCCTTGGTCTAATAAATATTAGGAAAAAAATGATTAGGGGAATGGTCTTTTAGTTTTACAAATCACTTTAACAATAACTATATAGAAATGAATGAATCCCTGATGGTTTCTAACATTCATTCAGTACAATACAAAGATTTAAGTAAAGTCTGGAAACTGAAAGATGCAGCTTTTATTCCTTAAGGAACTTTCATGCATTTATCTCAAATGCAGATTCATATTGCTGTGATATCAGCATAACACATATATTTTACAAGCTTCTGCTTACAAATGTAAAGGCCTAGAGCAGGGGTTCCCAACCCCTGGTCTGTGGACCACTAGCGGGCCACGGCATGCCAGCAACCGATCCGCACAAACAAGCAAAGCCCCATCCGCAGGATGCAGGCAGCACACAAAACCACGCCCCCTCCGATCTGCGGAAAAACCTCTCCACAGAACTGGTCCCTGGTGCCCAAAAGGTTGGGGACCTCTGACCTAGAGGACAAAACAGACAGAACAGCCCTCCTCCCATATATCCCTCTCTCAATTCTGTTTCATCATCATCTTTTCCCTAAGAATTGAGAAAGCTATTATGAAACGTATCTTAAGCACTTAAGTGCTTAAAGTGATATATTACTTTACTTTTTCCAAAATGGTCTCTCAGAACTCTGAAATAGAAAGACATTCTATGAGGAATCATTACCATTCCTATCATGAGGAGAAACTATTCACAAGAGAAAGATGCATGTTTTCCCTCTAGGAGACGAGGCTATTTTCATAAGAAAAGAAGAATTCTATCCTTCTTTGCTAGTGGGTTTTCTTGTTTATAGTTGGCTTTTTTCTGTCCTTCTGCCAGCCTTATTAAGTCTGAAAGGATAGAACAGAGCTAGATAACACACCAGGTTTATTTATTGGTAGAGTTGACAGTAGAAATAAGAATTTCTCTGCTTGTTCAGGAAAATAATTCTAAATATTCTGGAATTGGAAGGAATCAGTCTGATTTTGCAATTCACAAAAGTAATGGATAATACAAAGAAGCTAGGGAAAAAAGCACAGCAGATGACTTAGTTGATACTTTCTGAATAGAGAATCCCAAACTCAATCATATACTATTAAAATTCTTACTCATCCAACTATGTTTCGTGTTCCTATTTCCAAAGTAACAAACTGATTTTAATCTCTTAAGTGTGCTAAACAAAACCCATTTTTCTTGGCTTTAGAAATTTTAGAAATTTATACCACTCTTTCTACTTACTTTGATGCTGACGAACAATATTCAACTTGGATTTTGTTTAAAATGTACAATTTTGCTGGTTTTTATTGGTCAATATCTGCTTAATGTTTTGTAACGAATCACCCAAAGCTTAGCACATACAGAACCCATAAACTCCCAAAGGAAAGATTAGGAAAGGGTGCAGGTGTCCTAACAGAATGGTACCTTTTTTACTTGATTAACAAAACTTCTCTGCATGTTTGGGGTACGGGGGACATCTGAATGAAAATTTTCTCTCTACTTTACTTATTTCTATTGCAGATCTACTCATCTCTTAAACAGTACCAGTGGGGATTCTCTTTCTCTACTCCTTGTTACTTAAAGTGTTTCTGGAACTAATTAAGCATTTTTGTTAGAGTGTTCTTTTTTTAAAAAAATGTATATAAAAATTTCACATGAAAATTTGTATTTTGCACAGATTTAATGTTTAACTTTCTAAATTGGCTGTTAAGAAATAAATTCAATTCTCCTAAATACTGTTGCATCTTTTCTTCCTTTTTAACAAACTGCATTGAATACACACAGTTTCACCAGTGGTGGGATTCAAATATGTGAACAACCGATTCTCTGTGTGGATGCCACTTCCAAAAGTCCATTCTGGGCCTAGGCAACAAAAAAATAGCCACTGATTCTGCTGAAGTTGTGTGCAAACTGGCTGAATCCCACCACTGAGTTTCACCTTTGCTACTTTTCTGGTTTTGGTACAATGCTTCTTAAGCACTCTGTGTGGGCTTTCCTATGTTCCTGAAAGACATTTTAAATGTTGCCAAATGACTGCAAAATATGTGCTATAAAATTTTTGCAACCACTAGATGGCAGTAAGAAGCCACTGAACTCTGCCACCTGGTGGGTGCCCTGATATTTGCAGATCTCATTTTACAATGTTGTGCTCAGTCCTATATATGGCACTTCCTTCCTATCTGGAAATGGAAGTCTTTAGTGCAAATGTAGAATATATTCTGACAAACGATCACTTTTTGCAGACTCTCATCTGAATTTTGAGAAATTGGGGCTTTGGTAACATTTCTAACTCTTTACTTTCAGTAAATGGTTTTTTTCCCCTTTAATCAAAGTATTTTTTTTAAAAAAATGGGTAATGAAAGCTTCAGACTGCCATTTTTAGCTATGAGAGAATTTGATTAACTTTATTTGCAGCTATTTGTGCTAATAAAGTTTTTACTTGATTAAAGTTTTTACTGTGTTTAAGTGGCAGGAAATGTGTTTGAGAAACAAAGGCTCAAAGGGCTCGGATTCTCATGATCGATTAAGCAAGTGACCAACAATTCAGAAATCTAGTCTTCTGACTGTAGAACTAAAACAAAGGAGAACTTGGATATCGGGTTTTCATAATTTTAGTCAACAAGATGCTAAAATTACTTCTGAATTGCAAGCCTATAGCACAAACATAATAGTCCCTCCCTGCCAGAAAAAAGTGCTGAGATATCATTGTTCAAATACTGACCAATAATTGAGTGTCTCATTTTTACATCAGCCAACAAAGTAAAAGAAATTACACTAAGAGTGTCTTATCTTCCCAATTTTTATTTTGAGGAGCAAAATGGGTGACCAGAGGATTCCTTTGTCTACAAAACGGTAATGTTGAGGAAAGTTAAACTTTAAGCTTACAGGAGCTGCTCGTCCCTTTAAATAAGTTCATCTCAATCACTTCTTCACTGCAGGGGAGGAAATCAACCTACCATCTCTTGCCTTGCACTTATTGGCTTGCTAAAGTACTTAATGCAGTGCCTATACAACAGTATTCATTAGAAGAGCTCCAGTTTCATACTTGCTCAGAGCCTTCCTTGTTTGTTCAAACCTATCAATAGCCTCCATTCCCAGGTCCCTATGCAGGACTACAAAGCTTTGCTAGGTGCAGTGCCAACCCTTTTATTTGAATCAGCTGTGCAAGGGCAATACATGGTGGTTAAACATCTGGAGAGCTTTAACTTTTTTATGTAATCAATTTTTTGTCAAAACATTCATAGGTTTTGTCTCTTAGGTATTGTTTTTCCTGACTTAGACCACACTGTAGAGAAAATAATTCCGGTGTATATTGGATTTCTTTCCACAATGACTTTATTCCTCCTTTCCAACTCAACCCTAACATTTCCACCCTAAACCTTTGGTTATATAAACATACAACTATATTTTGCCTTGGATTGTCGGAAGTTACTTACAATTTGGGAAGCATTCTCTTTACTTAAATGATACAGTGTTAGTATGTGTAATCAGGATACCTGCCATTAGTATAATACTGTTAAATGTTTAAAATCCTTATTTATTACTGTATATATGTCCTGCTATTTGGTGTCAAAGACTCGGAAAGGTAATCTTAATAGTTTATCATGAAACATTAAAATGACCACTTCTTGACATAAAGTAATAATTGCTTGCTATATTTGATTTGATAAAAGTAATTCTAACAAGCACTTTCTATTACATTTGTATTCTGCAGGTCCGTATTTATTAATTGAAAACCATACAATGTTGTTCACTTTCCTTCTCAGCAAGCCAGTTTGAGAATGTTACTTGGAACACCCCAACCCTTTTATGCTTGAGTCTCATATTTTATTTTTTAATAAAAGGTCCTTTTAACACACTTGAGTTTGGGCATACTTCAAAAACAATTTGAGAACTAGAACTAGAGATTAGAAAACTACAATTCTGGCAAAAGTAGAAGTCTATGAGAGGAAACAAAATGAAAATTAGATTCACTGTACTTTCTGCATTTGGTACAAAGTTTAAGTTTATTGTAGTGTTTCCATCATCTGAAAAGCTAATTAAAGGCATTTGTATTTATAGCTTATTTATCAATAATGTCAGACCTGCCCCAATTTGATCCTTTAGGGAAGTAAAACTCTCGATTCCACTTGAAGTGAAAAGGCACTTTTACTAAGGAATGCTGGTTGCAGTAGAGTCAAGCGGAATCTGAAATTCCCATGCAGCAATACAAAACAACCCACCCGGTTTCCCCTAGACCCCCCTGGTCCATAGCATAGCCAATCCAGCATCGCCATTATGTTATCAGAAATTCTGAGGTGTTTAGGCTGGTGAAATGCTACACCCAGGGCAAACAGCCTTGAGAATGCCAACTGTCAATTTCCCCCTCCCTATTTCCCATCATAAAACCTGGCCATTTATTTTTCCCCTCCCTTGTTCCCCTCCCTTCTCCCACTGATGGTAGAATGCAGGCAAGGCTGGTGGTTCTGAGAAAGATATTTAAAACATGTCTTGTTAGAGGTCCAAAGCTAATATATTCTTTGGTCCCACTGCCATGATACTGAATTCTGCTGCAAAGAGTTCTAACTAGACCTCCACATTGTGTTAAGCTAGTGGTTGTGTCACTAAGTTGGCATAGATTTATAGAAAGTTGGACTAGAATGAGATTTCTCCATCAGAATTTTTTACTGAAAATAGAAAGAAGGCTAGCATTAGTTGTACGATTTCTATTATATTATCCATTAATATGTATTCACATGATCTTGCTAAAATGAACAGTTTTTTCTTAAATATATATTTTATACATATTTCTCATATATTTTGTATGTTAATCATGAAAAACATAGTTCTATGTATTTTACAACTGGATTCTCTACAAAAATCTAACAGATAAGATCTAAGAAGGCAAGCATATCCAAGAGTATGTCTGGAAATAGTGACATATTTCTAAAATGTGAAATTTTAGGGAAAAAACCAGATTATCTTTAATTAAAAAAAAAATCTGATTTGGCCATTCTTATATGTAAAGTCGCATGCTTGTGCACAGTTCTGTGTGTGGAGAACTCATCCCAAAATGTTAATAGACAAAAGAATGAAAATCAAATGCTAAAGAGTTAATAAGGAGCAAGAAGATTCCTCTATCAGGTGAGCTTTTTAAGCAAAGAGAGGCAATTTTACTTCTGGCATTTGCGGGAGAGAGCAAGGGAAGAAAAACAGCACTGTATCTTTAGAAAATTTGGAATTAGTTGAAGTAGAATCTTGAGCATTACACACTCAGTTGTAAAAATATGAGTTAAGTTTGGATACAGAGAATGAGCTGGAGAACATCAAGATAAAACCAACCGTATGCAAATAATCTTGTCCACACCCCATTAATAAGATGATCTTTGAATGGCAGGGTAGGGCAGGATTTTGCAGCATCCTCTTGATACTAATTGACTACTTGCATAAACACTTCTAAAATTATAAACTGAATTTTATATTTGTTTGAAGAAGCAGATACTTCTGCAGCACTGTTTCTAGCTAGGAACCATTTCAAATGTGGTTAAAGACAAGCATTGTAGACAACATGCAGCTTGGTTTCTGTAAATCATGAGGCAAGGAGAAGGGCAATGTCTAAGTACAAGAGGGCATGCAGAAACTATTCCCAAAGTTTTTCAAAAGAGATGTCAAGATGCACTTGAGGGAAGAGACCAAAGCTACCCAAACCAGCAGACCTAGTCTTCTACGTTAGCTATTTCCATGGCTGCTAATTTAGCCCTAGCAAAGAGTTGGTGCTGCATTGGAATTTCAATTTCCAGGGGTGGCACTTACTTAATTTGTTGTTTAAAATAACAGCAGATGATCACAACATCTTTAATTAGGGACATTGAGATCTTCCTGGCATGTCTCATACTGTATTTCAAGGTTTCTGCTTCCCAAATTTACACAATAGGAAATATAGCCAGGCTCCAGAACAAAAGCTTTATGATAGATTATTTATTTCATAAGAAAAAGAAAGGAAATTGTGTTAGGAATGCAGAAGGAAAAATACTTACGGAAATAAATAATATCTGGTCTCTTCTAAAATTCTGTGAATGAGACAGTGTGGCTAAAGCTGGAAGAAGGATAATATCTGATCCTCAAGTGGTAGCTGTATCAAAATTGTGCATTTTGTAGGAATGCAATTTCATGTTAGCTTACATGGAAATACATAATTACTGATTGATTAAAATGCAATCCTTTCTTTTGGAGTTACACAGCCAAAATTTTCTTGTTTTTATTTAAAACATGGGATCTCCAAAGGATGAGTAAAAAGGGAAAGATTATGGAAAATGCCACAAATGCATTTTAGGAGTTGTATATCTAGATTGACCCAAAAGTGTAAGGTGGAGATATATTATCACTACAATTGTTGTTCATAATCAGATATATTTATCCTGCTTGGTTGGTTTCATATGCAATTTTAATATTTAATAGGAATATTGACTAAATCTATTTCAATATTTTTTCTTCAAAGGTATATGCATGCATATGATTCATAGACATAGTGCTAAGTTAGAGATGGAAAAAGGAGTGCTAGACTGAGTGTATCTTTGGAATGTTTAATTCCAGAAGAATTAAACACAATTTAATTCTTCACAACCTGCCTACATTTTCCAGGGTCAATTAAACATTTCTCTCAAGAATTATTGCCTGTTCTTAATTTAATAGGGACATTGACCAGAAAAGGAAAGGGAATTGATAATTTGTGGTGTAAATTAACTCCTTCATAG